ATCTTGTGTGGTTCCAAGGTTTAATCAGCATGAGTGTTCTTTATCAACAGTCCCAGGAACATTATCCTTAGGGTATCACATACCTCAGAAGCATAGAAGAAACGGAAGTGAAAAAAAAATAGAAATGGCCATCTGGGGGTAGACAGTAAACAATTTTGAGTCTTATTCAGTTTTATCTCAAATGGATAAAAAACAAATTGATGGTGCCTTCTCTGTGTTACCCACCACTGAGCCTTCCTGCCCCACTCTCTCTCTTGTTCTTTTTCATTATGAATTCTTCTTCTCTGGCTCCTAAATCTGAAGAATCCAGGAGCAATATGGGCTTGGAGTTTTTGTATCTCTTTTCCACTTGGAGGTCTGAAGTCCTGACATGTCTTCCTTCAAACAGAATCAGTGACATTGACCTTGTTGATCTACATATGCACTCAAATTCTGACTCATAAGAACTGTTCAGTGAGTGTATATTCTTCCTATCTCCTATATACCCTATGACATATTAGAATTCTACTCATCTGCTGACTTGCTTCTGATGTGGCCTGCCCTCGGCCCATTTTTAGAACAGCCAATGGGGCTATGACTAGCCAGAACCATTTTTCATCCAATTGGTCTCCTGCCAGCAGTTTCATATGGCCTCTTGCTGTAAATCACTCTGGGAAAATAAATGTCCCCAATCCATTAGTGACTTTCCACCACAAGCCAATTTGAGCCACAAACTAGACAAGGCTTGTTAATGGCCACTTAAATACATTCCTACAGCCCAACCTGAAGACCTTCAACCAGACTCAGTCAGACCTTACCAGCTCCTTTTCAAAAGACATGATGGAAACAAGGCCACAGGTCATCAGACACTTATCAGTTAGGAGAACCACACACCCTGGTTTGTCTAGGATCCTTCTAATTTGCCTCCCCCGTGGTTCCCCCATCCCAGTGTAATTATCAATCATTTCACTTTCCAAACCATTCTAGCTTGACTGATAACACTCTGTAAGGTAGTGATGTGATGGCAACCAAAAATAATAGCTTAGACAGTAAGTCATTTATTAACCATTAATTGTATAAAGGTCTTGAGTGTTTTACCTCATTTCAACTTCAGTACAGTACTAATAAAGGAGACATCACAATTTTCCCCATTTTACAATCAGTCCTCTGTTTAGGTTTAGGTAGCTAATCAGCAATGCCAACCAAAGAGCGAGACTGGACTTCGTCTAGATCTCTCCTGGGGAAGTTGGCTACTCATAATTTTCTGGAGTACTGTGTGCCATTGTATGAGAACCTCTGCTTAAGACAGCCCATGCTCCCATTAGCAGCCCAGGCAGTGACCAAAAGGTTACCCTGTTTCTTGCTCTTTGGAGGAACTAACTCTGCAGAGGGACCCAAGGGAGAGCATATCTCTGTTTAGCTCTCTCTGCCCTGGCCTACTTGCATTGCTCTCTTTACCCTGAAAGGTCTTCCTAAGTAAACTGCTTGCAAAAGGCTCTCTGTATTAGTCTTTGGTTCTGAGGAGCCTGATGCATGGTATCCAGTTAGCAAGGAAGGAACTGAGCTAGAACTCAAGTTTGGTCGTCTTGAACCACTACAAGAGTGGTAGTACTGTTTGTGTTTCGCAGATGAATCTCAGGAAGCTTGGAGAAAGTGAGACAAGCTCACCAAGGTCACACAGGAGGAAGAGTAGAAGCTCAAGCATATACCCAGGTCCACCTTTCTTCAAAAGATACACACACACACACACACACACACACACACACACACACACTCATACAAACACTCTCATACATACTCATACACACACAAATACGCATACACATACCCTCTCTCTCTCTCTCTCTTTCTCTCTCTCTCTCTCCTACACTCATGCACAAAATCATTTGCTGCTTGGGTACTTAAACCTATTGTTACATAGCCCACTCAATGCAGAATTTGTGAAATGGGTCTCCCATTGGCTGACATTTTTTTTTAGAGGGCAGAACCTTCTGTTCTTCCAACCCTGCAGCAACAAGCAGTGGCTCTTTCTAAACTGCACTTGAACACATCTTTAATTTCCAGAAAAAAACCAACCATATTACTCTGGGAATCTCCAAAAAAAATTGTCCCCTTAGTCACACATAAGAACAACAATATACCCATATTTATTAAAGACACAAAAGCACGACCGTAGATATCACGGCCTAGAGAGGCAAATCACATTTGTGGTATTTCTGAGGGTCACAAAATGGAACAAAAGGGAAAGAGTAGAATCCCTGGGGACACGCAAATATGCATCCTAACTATTGTTTGTGTGATACTTTTGACAAATCACCCAATGTCTCCAATACCCAATTTGTTCTGTTACAAAAACACCTGCCCACCAGTCTGTGAATTGGAGGGTAAATGAGATAAAATATGCCTTTCTTCCTGCTTCCTCTTATCCACTCTTATAATTATAGACTCACCAACTTGAGACCTTGTCCCAGGTCTGAGTAATACTAATTCAGATGTGCTATGCTTTGTCTCCAAGCAAAAAGAACATCCTATTTGATGATAAAAGATTTCCATTAAAAACAGAAAGCAGATAAAAGGGGGACCTTCAGTCACAAGGCCTCAGTTGATTCATAAAAACATGGAATGAGTCATGTTGCTCTCAAGGCAGAAACTTATAATCAATGGGCCTCTTTGGTCAGCCAATCCCAGCCCAGCAGAGGATGACAGACCCAGCAGGCCATCTCCACAAGCTATTCCAATGCGACCTTGCAAACTGATTAATTCTGCTTCTCACTTGGTGAAAGGGAAAAAAATCAATCTGGAGCTCTTTGCCATACTATATTCCTAGTACACACCAGGTCTATGTGGCTTTCTGAATAAGCAGGGCTACTGTGTGTGCATGTGTGTGTGTGTGTGTGTGTGTGTGTGTGTGTACATGGGTGTAAATGGGCTTGTGTGCATGTGTGTGCATGGTGAGTACATGGGTGCATGTATGTGTTCATATGTGCATACATGTATGTGCACATGTATGTGTACATACATGTATGTGTGTACACAAGTGTGTAGCACCATTAAAGAGTGAGTTTGAATGTCAGTCTCTGAAAATCACCTCCTTGCTTTCATCCTGAGACTATTTCAAAACATCCCTGCTCCTACTTGCATTTTCTTGCAGTTAGCCCAAGGCTACTGAATGCAGAAGCTGGAGAACACAGATTTACTCGTACTGCAGCAACATCTCTTTTCTTGAAATTGTGGCTCTAACAGTTAGTCTCTGAATATACCCTTGAATCCTAGACTTCAATCTGCAGTGTGAATGAAAGGTCCTAAAACACTCACACAATTGTGTATTAAAGTGTGCACACAGGTGCATGATATTTTTGATGAGGTAGTTAAGGAAGGGGAGTTATTCATACATTATACTAGGTAGATGGTCTTTCATCAACAAGTAAAGAACAATTATCTTACAACTGTCTTCCAATCTACCTCCGCCATCCATTCATCCATCACCACTTAGAATATGTATGTACTGTGCCAGCTCTGTTGGGTACTGGTGATTTATTGATGAAAGGGGCAGGTAAAACCTCTGCCTGCTGAGATCAGTCACTTAAGAGTTAATGAAAAGAACTGTACAGGATCCCCAGGTTGCCTGGAAGCTTCTCTTATCCTGAATTCCTCCCCTCACCTGAGAAATCTCCAAACAGTGTTTAAAGTCAGGCAGGACCAGTTTCATATATGAAGAGCTAACCATGGATCATTGCTCACTGCTCCCACCAGCTGCCTCCTAATCTGGCAATAAAACCTGCCTGCTGCCAAGGTGGTGAAGGGGCCAAAGGGAGCTCTTTTCATTTTTCTTGCCGTTAGATCAGGTTGCAGATCCTGGCTTTCTTTCTCCATCTGTCCTAGGGATGTTTGAGTTAGCTGTTATTTCTATGAAGCAGGGACTCGAGGGGCTTGGGAAATCCAACCAATAGCCCTTGTAAGATTCGTGGTTACTATCGAATGTTGAGTCCAGGGAGCAGCTCCGTCAGTCTCCACTGCACTCGACTTCAGGGGCATGGCAGTGTAATGCCCCCAAGCAGAGAACAGCTTCCATACTTGCATACTGCAGGGAATCTCAGCTGGTCTAGACACATCTCTCCAGGAGGAATGGGAATAGAGAGTCTCTTAGAGTGTGGGCTCTTTCTGAGAGCAGTGCAGGAGTTCCTAAAGAATGCCATCTGGTTTTCCTAGCCAGCAGGAAAAGCAGAAGACGCAGGGGTGGGGCTGGGGGTGAAGACTGCATCCCTGGCTTCACTTTTCACCTAGCTTAAAGGCTGGGGATTTAAGCCTCTTGATTCTCAATTCTTTTCCTCATGTAAGTCGGGGGGCGGGGATGTACAAGAGTGGGGGTGGGGCACCCAACCCTGCACCTTGTCCTCAGCCCCCATCTGGATGCACACGAGAGAGAGAGAGAGAGAGAGAGAGAGAGAGAGAGAGAGAGAGAGAGAGAGAGAGAGAGAGAGAGAGAGAGAGAGAGACATCGATCAAGTGTCAAGTTCCAGCCTGGTCACTCACTGGCAGTGAGTGATCTTGGCAGCTTGGCAGATCACTCTTAGGAGGTATTAAACTGGATCGCATATGTAAAACTCAAAAAAAAAAAAAAAACTAAGGCACCGGAAACAATACGTATACGGCGATTGATATTTTTTAAACCACGTAAAAGATCAATTCCCACACTTACATCCCTTCCAGTGTTGCAGCTGAGTTGCCCTACAAGGGGGTCACAAGCAATCTTCCGGACTTTAAGTCCTGGGAGCCACTATCCTTCCTGTCACCCTACATTTGATGTGCGGGGAAAAGACCACCTCTGAGATCCTCCTTAGGCTCCACAGGCTTGAGCTGGGGGTCGGGGAGCTCAGAGAGCCAAGCGTGAATGTAGAGAGGGCACCCACTGTCTGTGCGTACTGGGTACCTGGGCAGCATCTCCAACCTAGGCTCTCCCACCCACTCCCGGAGTGCCCAGCGCGCAAAAGAGAAAAACCAGAAAGTCGCGGATACTGGACCAGGCTTTGACGCGGATTTTGAGCTCGCCGTCCTGTGGCTCCGGCATGGCCTTTCTGGAGAGCCTCAGCTTGTTGAGCCCGCCGAAGCCGGCCAGCACCACAGCGCGCATCTCCTGGGCATCCCCGAGGCGGTGGGAGCCGTCGCCGCCCTCAGCAGGCTCCTTGTTGGTCTCCTTCTCGATCATCTGCTCTGTCTCCTCCGCCTTCTCTACGCCTTCCTTGGCCATGGTGCGCAAGGGTCCGCGGGGCGCACAGGCTGCGGCTGTGAGGAGCGGTCGGAGCTTCTCTCCCACGGGTTCCTCCTGTTGAATGTGGGATGCTCTTCAGCGCAATGGCTGCAACCTCTGCGAGCGGAGCCGCGGTCCACCGCCTCCGCCGTAATCCTCAGAAGAGCCGCGCCCTCGCATCCCCACCCAACCCCCGCCGTCACATTTCCTTCTGCTCCAAACCAAACCCCAAGTCCAGCTTTTGTGCAGTTCCTAAATCAAGCTCTTGGTTGCAACCTTAAAAACGGACTCTTGGATAAAACACACCAGGAGCTGCTGCCTGGACACCCCAACCCTTAGAGTGGGCTCAATACTTGGGTATATATGGCACAGACTCTGGCGCCTTGAAATGGACAGAGATGAATGTCTGGGCCTGGAGGATGCTGCCTCGAGACAAGGTTGCTTCCCCTCCTGCCCTTAGGCAGGGGTGGGCGGGATAGCCGGGAAATTGGGCTGTTTACCATCTGCTGATACTGAGTGGAACCGCAGGGAGGTGCGGGAAGTTAGAGATCCATCCCAGTCAGGACTCTGAAGAGCCAGGTCCAGTCTTTTCCCTCAGCACCCTTTGTCATGTGGAATGCTCTTCCTGGACTTCTCCTGAGGCTTCCTTAAGCTAGTTAGTTCTTAGGACCTATGCTTTTATTTATTATTTATTTATTTATTATTTATTTATTTATTATTTATTTTAGCAAAGAGGATCCAGAAGAATTCGGTCCCAGAACAGGTCTGTTTCCTGCTGGGATCTCCAGAAAAACAAGAATCACCTGGACAACACACACACACACACACACACACACACACACACACACACACACACACACACACCTGTCTTTTGTTTTGAAAGTTTATAGAAAAACGTGTGCTTTCTCCAGCAGGGTGTCGTGAAGCATCAGTGTAGTCCCAGCCAGCACTCAGGACATTGAGGTAGGAGAGAAAGCCCGTGTCAGTGAGCATAAATGAGTAGCAATGAAATATTGCTGGGCACTGAGGAGCAATGCCTTTAATTCTGTGAGTCTACATAGTGAGACCCTGTCTCAAAAGATAAAAAATAGCAAAAACTACAGATGCCATCTAAACATGTCTATCACATAATAAACTCTAGCTATTAAACAAAGGTCATCTGTGCTGTCTTAAACGATTTCTATAGGAGTTGCCGTGTGCAGTTTAAGGAAGGAGATATAATTTCTCATCAGGCACATGTCTCAGTTCAGGTAAATCCTACCTTTGAGGCCTCAGGTGACATTACTCTTCCAGAAACCCAACACTCATACCCACTGTCCTAGTTAGGATTACCATTGCTGTGACGAAACACCAAGACCAAAGTAACTTGTGAGAAGAGTTTATTTCAGCTTCCACTTCCAGGTAACCATCCATCTCTGAGGAAAGTCAGGACAGGAACTCAACAGAGCAGGATCCTGGGGGCAGGAGCTGCTGCTGAGGCCATGGAGGACTATTGCTTACTGGCTCACTTCTCTAGGCTTGCTTAGCCTACTTTCTTCTAGAACCCAGGACCTCCAGCCCAGGGATGGCACCACCCACACTAGTCTTGGACCTCCCCCCCATCAATTTTTAATTTAGAAAGTGCCTTATAACCAGATCTAGTGGAGATACTTTCTCAAATGAGGTTCTGTACTTTCAGATAACACATGCTTTTGTCAAGCTGACATAAAACTACCAAGCACATCCACAGAATGGTCACATTTCATTTATCATCTGAAGGGCATAAAGTGCTGCAGTGCCTTAGCTAAGTGGCTGTTAGGCTCTTGGTCTCAGTGAGTCAGATTGGTGGGGCAGTGGTCAAAGGAACACGACAGAATGACGCTGTTACAGACCCCTCCTTTCATCCATCCTGTGCCTCTCTGTTTTCAAACTTTGGCCTTTATCTGGGAAAAGTCATTGCATGCCCATCTTAACCCAGACATCTCCACCTGCTGTGCCGTTGACCTTGGATGTTCAGCTCATCACCTTCATCATGGTTAATTCCTAACCCACTCTCATTCAGAGCATCAATTTCTTGTGCAAAGTTCACCAGCTCCCAGGCTGGATTCTTCACCGTAAAAGTGTATGTCAGTTCGTAACTATGATGTGATTTATTTAGCAATGTCTTGTTCCTTTGCTCAACTTAAACTTAGGTGGGTAGGAGCTGAGCTTCTTTTAACCAGCCTTGTTTTCCTGGGTGTAGTTCATGACTGGTTCATAATCAATTTGTTGGATGAACAACTTAGCCAATGAAAGCAGATGCTTCTCTGGAATCCCAGAAGATGGAACTATTAACTTATCCCACAAGGTTGGAGGAATTCTCAGGGAGGAGGGGACATGTAAGCCAGTTCTGTAGATCAAGAAGATTCTAGGCCCACTGAGGCACATGCAAGGTGACAGGTGACAGGTGATTTTCAGATAATGCTCATATGCTCTGTGAGCTGCAGTCCCTGAAGACAAGGCTGAAGGAAGCAACATTTGAGGCTGTTCTCTGAAACATGATTTTCATTAAAAACCATGCAGGTAGTCAATGCCACTTACAGTTTCAGATACAAAACAAGAAACAAACAAACAAAAAAATTGAGGGACCAGGATTACTAGGACTGCATTTTGGGGTAATAATGTTGGCAACAAATGGGCTGTGGGTGAGGTAATAGTCCCTGGAAGCATGGTGATCAGTTAGAGATGAGAGCATGGAATTTTTAAAATGTGTCTGCTCTTTTCTTGGACTTCTAATATCTCTATTTCACCGAGGCCCTTTGTGTTGTTTTTAAGCATTTTCCTTTGACATGAGGGAAGTAAATCTGTGCTGTAGTTCACACACTGCATATTTAGGAGATGGTGTTTGTCTTATATAGTGTGCTAAATGGAAGATAATTATTCCCTACAAGCGAATCTTCTGGCTGTTAAAAAAAAGAACCCAGATTGTAACTGGTAGACAGCTGATTATCACAACAGCTCAGAAGGGACGCACCACACTTTGAGCTACTTGGAGAAGAATACTGTCCTTTGAGTCCTATATAACAATATAAGTGAGCATTTGTAACGTTGCTCCTCTCTAGTAGAATGTGACAAGAGCTATGCTGGCATATCTCCACATAAACAGTAAGTCAGTTTTTATTTGTTGTGAATGGGTTATTCCAGGCACTCTCTCAGTGCTTTCCTTAGGAAGTACCTTACCATAAAGGGCAGTGTCAAACACTGACATTGTACCACTGCTGGTACAATGTGGTATTGCAACTCTGAACTGTAAATGGCTCTAGAAAAAGAGCAGTGTACCTGTGTTCCTGAGTGAGTGTGTATGTGAGTGCACGCATGCCTGCATGAGTGCACGTGCGTGGGTGGGGAAGAGAATAGGAAGAGGGATGGAGGGAAGGAAGGGAAGGGAGGAAGAGAGGGGGAAGGGAAGGGGTAGAGAAGTTAATTTAAATCTAACAGTCTAGTCTAATTGATGTATAGTGATTTAGGTTGGGCCACCCAGAAGCAAACTTTTCTTAATTCAGAGAGTAAAAATATATAGGAAATAATATTGGAACAATATTAATATTAGTATATAAATGATTATCTAAATAAATTGAAATGGCCCAGCAAATTTGTAGAGGAATAAACCACTTGTATGATAATCAATGGATCCAGATACACTCTTTAATCAGGTTTATTCTGCTGCATCATCTTCGATCCAGTTAGAGTAATTTGTTCTGCATAAATCACAATAGTTACTCTTTAGGATAATCTATTTCCTTAGGAACTAGTATCCCTATTTTACAGAGGAAAGATTTGCAAAAAAGCTGAAGAACTGTCTCAAGATCACCTACTGAGTGTGGCAGACTTTGAAATGAGAAGTATCTCACTTTAAAACATGTAGTTTTAACCATTGTTTGGCAACGTGCATGGTTTTATTTGGTGTTCCATCTTTCTAACTTTTTGAAGATTTATTTCTTTATTTTATGTGCATATGTGAATGTACATGAGCGTGTATGTGTACCACCTGCACATATGCAGGAGCCCACAGAGGTTCCCTATATCTACAGTACCAGGCAGTTATGAGCTACTCTGTGGGTGCTGGGAATTGAACCCTTGTTCTCTACACGAGGAATAAGCACTCTTACCCACTGGACCATCCCTCTTTTTAAGGATACTACTTACCTCCAGTGGGTCAGAATCTAATCTAATTTAATCCTCTTGCAAAGGAGGCTGGGGGATTAGTGTTCTGTCAGTGAAGTGACAGAATCCCAAGAGAAAGTCAGAGTTCAGTTAGTAGCAATAAAGGGAGAGAGATGATATTGGGAGTAATAATAGGACCTTCCTCAGATGACTCTATGGAATGGTGGATGGAGTGTTTGGAAAATAAAGAGAAGTGCAACATCACTTAAACAATTCTTGCCCTTGAAACTGATGCTATCTCCCCCCAAAAGAGCATGTGTTCCTTAAAAAAAGATTTATTGTGTGTGTGTGTGTGTGTGGTGTGTGTGTGTGTGTGTGTGTGTGTGTGTGTACAAGAGCATGTGCACATAGCTGTCCACAGAGGCTAGAAGAGAGTGTGAATTCCTTGGAGCTGGAGTTCCAGGGGCTTCTGAGCTTTCTGAGGTGGGGACTGGGAACTGAACTCTGGTCTCTTGAAAGTGTAGCAAGCACTTTTAGTGGCTAAGCCATTTCTCCAGCCCCAGAGATGCATTTTTGTCCTATTTCATAGTTTTATCTTCATATTATTGAATTACAACTTAATGGTAGAGATTACTGAAAAAAACATTATTCTTTTTATCATACCTTGGATGTGCTAGCCCTATTTAGGTCTGTCTTTGCCATATTATGAGTGATTAAAATTGGGACCATTTTACCTGCTCTTTCTTTCCCCTTTACTCACAAGCAGCTATTGTCTATGGAGAGATGATTTTTTTATCGATCATTTTGTATCGCTTGGTAAACATGGTTGGCCAAGTGTGGAGGAGAATAAACCACATAGGGCCAGGTGAGGAAATTTAAATGAAGCAGTTTATGGTTTTGAAACCTCATTCATGCTACAGGATGATTTCTGAGTGATTTTTTTTATCCCATTCTGCATATTTTGGAGGGTTTTCCCCTAGGACGAGGCTGTGTG